TGCCGGGATTCATTGAACTTAATAAAGCAAATTCAGTGTAATGTGACTCAAGATTTTATTTTCAGCAATAATCTGGAGTTTCGTTATTTTGTGGACACCTAATTGGAAATTAGAAAGATAGATTATTTGGTTATGTATTTTCGTAATGTGATTTGTTGACACTAACTTATTATTATTAATTTGGATGATGTGTTCTTTGCTACTAAATTTTCAAAATGAATTCTCTTGTTAATTTAACGGAATTTTCTAGTAATAGGACAGAGGGTAACCTGACCATTTTGCATGAAGACTACGTGTATGCTTGTAATGGGATAGAAAATCAATTAATTGTTATATGGACATGTCTTTGATATTATAAAAGTAGCCGTAATTCACATGAAGGAATTTCTCCAAAGTGGGGATTAAAATATTGATGATGTTTCTTAGGTCAGATGACTAATTTTCCACTTCAATTTTTACGTGGCACTAATTGACATATTTAATTATGGTTGACAACGTTAGCAATCCATTTCCGTTTGTCATTCTTATGATTTCTAGAACTCTACGAAATTGCGTCCCTAATTATTAAGTTTTAGATTGATTTTCGTATGGTCTATCCAAACATGTATTGTGATATTGGGAAAAATCTTTATTTTAATAGAATAAGTAAAAACAAGATTTGAAAATTTCTCTATATAAAATTTATAAATTATTGCTACATAATTGCAGGCAACATTGTGTAATTTATGATTTTTCTTATAAATAGTTTTGGTAGCGATGCAAACCTTTAAAATTTGGGTCGTTACAGTTTGGTATCAGAGTAAAGAGTTTTAAAATTGATTCTGTAGAAAAATAAAAAATGGGGCTCAAACATGCATAAGAATACAATTTATAATTTCTGTTTATGGAGTAAGTTCCCACAAGTCAATATCTATGACAAAATAGATAACCGCAATGGCCAAATAGAATAAATCAGTAAAATAAAACAACAAATAAATTTATTTTTTTTTTATACTAGGCAATGAACATTCAATAAATGAACGGACAGAGTTCGAATTACATAGGCTTACATGAATAAAGGGATAGCATCAAGAAAATATATATACCTACCTACCTACATACATACATACATACATACATAAAATAAAAGAAAATCTTAATACCTTATCATCCGACGCGAGACTCGATTTTAGGAATGTGAAAAAGAGGATATGTGGTTTGGGGATGGGATGAACAAATTGGAGGATATTAATTTCTAATGACATTTAATGGGTGTAATTTCTTCTAATTAAGTAATAATAATACCCCAATTAGCCTATTAACTTATTTAGTCCTTCAATCGATTCAATTAATTTAATAAATTTCCATTACTGACTATCGTTTTGTTATTAAATTAATTTACACCAAATTTGCTATAAACGGATATCTTCCAACTCCAGTACAAAATCGAATAAAGTATATTATTAAATAAAATATAGACCTTGTAATTGAATTAATGGGCAGGTGATTTATCTAGGACGTCTCAAATGCATTTCACTGCAACCAATATAGTTAGGCACGATTACAATAATTATAATAATTCAACAGTAAATATAATATAAATGCAACTAATTAATGTAGTCATGATAATCACAAAAAATAAGAATGTGGCATTACAAAATCCTATCCGTTAAAATAAATTTCGTCCTCGAAATTAAAACATATCAAATAAATGCAAGTAGTTGTCAATTGTCGTGTATCTATTCTTCGCATTTGAAATTGCTAATTCTATAACATTGTCTCTCTAAAATACCTACATTAGAGTTATCATCTTTCTTAAGCACTCCTTGTCTTAACTCTTTTTGATATTTACAAGTTCCTTATCATTATCCTTGTAGTGATTCAGTGACTCATAGTTTAGGGAAAGATATAAGTGTCTAAGTCATACTTCCTTTATATAGAAATCAAAAACACACTGTGACTCTTAACAATATTGATGGTAATGTGTTTTATTACACTAAGCTACTACCTACGTCCTTTCTAATATCACAGACGGTCACGTAAATTGAGAACTCATATTTTCTTTCTACAAATCTCTTAACGCCCTCATAAATTCCACAAAAATAGTTTTACTCGAAATAAATACTACAGACTATTATGTTTTATATTATTATTCATAAATTTTAGTATTTCCAATTAAACCTA